TTTTTTGAATTTAATCCAAATTTTTATATATTGGGAATTGATGATTGTGCAGAAACCCGTCAGTAATTTTATGCATCCAGTATTTTCATATACTGCAACTTTTTCGTTGTCAATACCTAACGGTTGTTTTGAGAAAGATTCTGCAAATGGATCTTGAAGCATATTGTAACGGATTTCTCGATAAATCGGCTACCTTGTAACTCAATCTTGTGTTCGATCACTGGATTGTTAAATAAAAGTCCCAGTTTAATGGTTATTCACTTATCTTTATTTCTAATCCAAATAATTTAACGCTTTATTACTCATTATCCGAGCTTACAACTTCTTACTTATATCTCAATTGCTCTTTACACGGCAGCACTCTAATTTGAACTAAGTCTGTAGCATAATCCGGCAGCCCTTATGTAGTAGATCATTAACAAAACTTTGCCTTCCACCTAGGTCTCATCGTCCCAATTAGTTGACTGTTGATTTCTTTAGCTGTCCTTCACTTATTGGCGTTGTTTCGATATTTAAAATCCGCTTTCCAGATGCCCAGTTTAAGGTATATACTTTGAATTAAAGTTGACTTGAAATAGCTTTCTTGGTCACAACATAATTCCACAGGAACACCAAATCTCGTTACCCATGCCTTAATAAATACATCCGCTACTGCTTCAGCCTCTGGATTAGAAATTATGTACACTCCTGTTAATTCGGTGAAATAGTCTTTGACTAACATAACACTTTTGTTTTTAAATTTATTTATGGAAATGTATCATCTACACTCAATGAACCTCAAACTCCTAGCTGCAATGTACTCAGCATAATTGGCCGTAACTGATTGACGACAACCAACCCAATAACATCTTTGCTTTAACTTCTCCAAGGTTGTCGTGATCCGCAAGTGTCCCCCACTTGGACTGTTGTGCAGCTCGTTGAGAACTTCAGGACTTCTAAACTTCGGAACAATCATAAGTGCTCGGCAGCTTAGCCAATCTTCGCTTTTCCATACTCAATGCAAGCAGCCACACACCAGCTTGAAGCTTGACCTTTCTGAAGTTAATTCTTCACTCGTTGTACATTTGTTCAACTCCACTTCATGAATTACGCCTTGCAAATCTGGATCTTCTTGCAAAGACTCATCAACTTCTGCCTACATTTATTCTGCTCTTTCGACTGTGAGGACCCTTGTACTGGTATACAAGCTTCTTGCTCTTCTGACTATGAGGACATCTGGGCTGGAATACCCGCTTCCGGCTCTTCCGACTGCTCTATCTGCATTTATATATGAGCCACGTGTGCCTCCAACTGTGCTGATCTACGCGTCCCTATTATTTGTAAGGTCACCACGATATTTGGATTGAAATGCAGCCAAATTATGTTTATGTCCATGGTGTTTGATGAGCATTGAGTATCTTCCTTTTATTATATCTTCGTAATTTGTTCCTCTAATTCAAATTGAAAGACATATTCCTCAACATGAATGTTTTCCTCCTCCATTGTCCCTAGCAACCGTGATTGTAATTCAGTTTTTAATCAATTTGTCGCCAATCCTCCATCGTTAAACTTGACCATTTTCAAATAATTATCTCTTTGGAAATTTTTTTGACGATACCACTTCTGACACCAATTGGAATGGATTTCTCGATAAATCGTCTACCTTGTAACTCACTCTTGAGCTCGATCACTGGATTAATTAATAAAAATCCCAATTTAATGGCTTTACACTTATCTATATTTCTTAACTAAACAATTTAACGCTTTCCTACTTAGATGGTCGTTGTGTTTTTAATATCTTTCAATATCCTATCCAATGCCTCAAGTGAATGTTAGTGTGCCATAGTGCATTCATTCCAAATTATAATTTCACCATGTTTCAGCACGGTGCCCATGAACGTATGTTTTTTTATGTTGAACACTGCATCTGGGTTATTTTGAATGTTAAATGGCAGCTTAAATGCTGTATGAGATTTTGTGACCCCATCTAATAAAGTTGCTGCAGATGCAACAGGCAAAACGATGTAACAGGCAAAACGAATAATGAGTAATAGGTAGCTCAACAGGCAGTTGTTTCGGCTACACAGTCTTACTGGAGACTCAACTCTGGTACCACGGGGAGCAGCTCATTGGGTTCGGCCCTTTGGGGAGTTTCGTGGTGGTTTAAACCTAAATGCTGGAAGAACTGAATTTTCAGTTCAAAAAAGAAGTTGCACAAGGAACCGGGTTCCGTACCCGAAAACGGAAGATGTTTTAGGTCGGCCTCGAATCCTACCAAGATGGTCAGTGTGCCCCTACACACTGGCCACTGGTAACGAAATTAATACTTGCAAAAAGCTCGTATTATTTGGGGCGCTCATCAACGCTTTTTTTTGATACGTTGTGCTTTATAGCACCGTGAGGTAAGGCCGTCGACGGCAGGTACTCACGTTAAACACACCGGACGTTGTAGTTTAAGATTTACATCTTTTTTTGATTACTGATGAAACTTCGATATGGTGAACTCATACCGAAATGACTTATTGGTAAATTCGCAATGACAATGCAATGATCCTCGATAGCAATCAATGCTTCATTGTGGCACTGAATGATATCGTAAGATCGTTGAACCTTGTACGATGGCAATACAATACGAGGTCTGTTCAAAAGTATCGCGAATTCTATATTTCTTAAGAAAGTGTTTATTTATTCATGAATATCTATTTTGTTTGCTTTAAAGTAATCGCAGTTACGCTATTAGGTAAGTAGATATCGGTGAAGATGCGATAAACGTAGCCTGCGAAAATTTAAAATTCGCGATACCTTGTACTTGAAAAAAAAACAACACATTAATCGTGCCACAGCCACCGTACTTCTGTGACTTCTTTTGTTCCTAAAACTAATTAGGCCATGAATGGACGACGCTACGGTACTATTGAGGTAATAAAAACTGAATGGAAGGAGGAGCTGAACAAGATCCCAAAAATGAGTTTTTGAAGTGCTTTGAGAATTGGAAAAAACGCTGGCATAAAGGCATTATGTCTAAGAATGATTATTTTGAATGGGATAAAGTAGATATTCGCGATATTTTTTGAACAGACCTCGTATACCAAAAACATCGAATCAGTGTGATTATTCCACAACATTTACGATAGGGCCGGGAAACATGTCGTCGGTACTTAAGCAAATAGTAGACTAATTTATATCCTGCGCAGTTGTCATAAAAAAATAGCAACAAAAAATTTTGTCCAAAAAAATTTGAACTGGACCACCCTTAATATTTAGGGATATGAAAAATAGATGGTGGCCGATTCTCAAACTTACTCGATAAGTACACAAAATTTCATCGAAACCTGGCCAGCAGTTTCGGAAGAGTTTGGCAACAAACACCGTGACACGAGACTTTTATATATCAGCTCTTTTATTTAAACAAGTACTTCTGTTCAAACTCTTTGAGTGTTGGTGTTATTAGTTCAGGAAAAGTTAAATGTAAATGAAAAAGTAAGGTCACATCTTATTTCGGGCACTGCCCTAAGCTATAGAAAAACTATAAAATCCTTTTATTTAATTACGTCTTAAATGCGAATTTCCATTGAAGTAACAAGCTTTTGGGTAGTTTCGCTAGGGATATTATGCTAATATTTGACCACAGCAGGTTTTAGTTCGTTCAGATTATTATTCGGCCTTTTCCGTATCGCCAAGTCCAAAATTGCCCACAAATTTTAAATAACGTTTAAGTCAGGAGATTGTGGAGGTGGATGAGGTGGGAACCGTTCCATATCAGCAGTGATTGCACAATCACCCAATTGGGTTTTGGGTTCATGTCCTGGTAACATCGGAAAAGATTGTGTACATCCAAAGCTTCGGCACATTGGACACATTTTGTTTTTAGTATGTTTAAATACACATTTTGTCCACTGTGCCATCAACAAAAACTAGTTACCAATTCCAAAATATTAAATTTGGACTCGTCGGCGAAAATGACCTCTTCCTAGATTAAATTGGTTTCGTTCTCGCAGCACACGACGCACGGTTTCCGCACAGCGTACGTTACTTAGCTTTTATTTAGCGCATTTCTGCTCTTATCAACCACTCGATTCTCGCGCAAAAAACGCTTTATGATGTATTGAACTGTACTGGCTCGATGGCTTTGTCCTTTTTTAAAAAGACTTAAAACTATTTCTTTTTTTCTGTGCTTGTCCGTGGTTCCATATTTGAAAAATTAAGTTTTTTTGTCTTTTTATGCGCGATTAAGAAAAATTAAGACACATATACCATAAATAGCACAAAGAATACCAATTAGTTAGATGTGTTTACGCAGAATTACTATTAAAAGTAATCGCATGAAATAAGCTCAGAGCTCTTTTTTATCAAAATGCTTTTTCGGAGTTTTTAAATATGGAATAAGTTTTTCAGTTATTAATTAAAACGAATTTGATTATACAAATAGGTAGCAAATTTTCGCGTTTAAATTTTCTGAGAATATCGTTAGTTTTTTTTATAAGATTCAAAAATTTAATTTAGCGGCTGCACGAAATGAGCTGTGAGCCACTGTATATGCGACAGCAGCGTTGTAAAAGTGTCAAAGTATCACGTTCTGTATGAATATCTGGCAACACTAGTAACAGCATCACGTTCTGCTGTCACTTTTTGCGTACAATTTACACATATAATCCGCAGCTCATCAGTAACGAAGTGTCATATATACAACACAGCTGTGGTACTGCTGTAATAATAACGTAGCTGGAACCCACCTTATTTTATATATGCCATTAGAATTACAATTAACACAGGCAAAAGAGTAAAAAATTAACCAAATATTAGAGTTTTGGTGCCATCGTATATGTAATATAATGACTTTCGATATTCTAATTAAAGATACGTCGAATATGAATCAAATTAAGTGGACTTGTTTCCGTTACTTGTTGCTTCGTAATGAGAAGAGATTCAAGTGAAAATTTTTTACATATATATCTATAAATTTATTATCGTAGTTATAGAATTAAGAAGACTAATTTGTTCCCCTGAGTTATGTTATTTATTTGGCCAAGCTCCCAATATTGAGTTCTACAATACAAATTAAATAAACTCATGCGAGCAGAAACAACTTAAAATAAAACCACAACGTATTATTTACTAGAGTAGTAACTTGACTTCAAAAATATATACAGGCACCAGCAGATCTCCATTAAAATAGCATATAATGACATAGTATTTGTATTAAACAGCATCAGAAAAAAATGATTGGCTTTTGGTTATGATTTGGTTATTTTGCTAGCTCTTTCATGCGATCAAGAGCGCTACCATCCTTAAACCAACCAATTTGTAAATCATTTAGAGTATGATTTAGTTTAATCTTATCAATTATGTCGCCAGTTCTAATCTCACAATCAATTTCTTGTCCTGGTGCTACTTTTTCAAGTCCGACGAGAGAAATTTTACTTTCTCGTTTAATCTATAAGCATAAAAATAAAGAAATTACTCATTTTGTGTGTAAAATGCAAATGTCAAAGTTAACAAACCCTGTTTGTTTCGTGAATGCGGGCAAATGATTTAACAATGATTGCTCTACCGCCAAGATGTCGTGGTTCTAGAGAAGCATGTTCGTGTGATGAACCTTCTCCATAGTTTTCATTACCGATTGCCACCCACTTAATATCATTTGCCTTGTAATCTCGTGCAACGTCGGGCACACCTTCCCATTGCCCCGTCCGCTGATTTCTCATCTTATTCATTTCGTTATTTTCCGAATTGACAGCTCCGATAAACATATTATTTGAGATGTTGTCTGTTGTACATTTTCCTTTTACTTTAATAAGAACTGTCATATCCACCAAGTCTTTTCCATTCCATTTGTCAAAGGGATCTAAGGGTTGGAGGCGTTGACTCTTTGGATCCAGTTCCACTTTAACAGCATTACCGCTCTGATAGATAGTTACATATTTACATACATATGACCCCTAATGGTTTAATTTAAAGTAATTTTTCACTCACTTAATGCTTTATGATTTAACCAAACTAATTGATTAATATGGAGAAATTATTAAAAATATTGCAGTGTAGAAAGATATTGTATTCCAATTTCGTCCATTTTTAAATCGTAAGGAATCAATATAATGTTATGGACAGCAACTTTTCCATTGCCAATACCTAGTTGTTTTGAAAAAGTTTCTGCAGATGGATCTTAAAGTATATGAACGTGCATGTTCACTATAAATTGAAATTGAAATTATTAATTGAATTAAACTTTTTGAACAGACTTCGTATATCATCAGTTATCAAATCATTGGGATTATTCCACAACATTTGTGATCGGGCCGGGAAACATTTCATCAGTAACATAGCAAATAGTAGACGAATTCGTGTTCCAGAGCAGCTTAATTCTGTTTCAGCGAGCATAGTGTCCCTGATTGTTATCTTCTAGCAAGCCTGCAAATTAACTTCCTTCGATTAGGAAGTATGAAAAGAATACATAAGTTCCGCGGACGCGCGGAAGAAATCAAATATGATAGTTTGAGTGATCCTGATGGATAACTGATCTCTTCATTTCAATTTACTCTTATTTATAAAGTTTTCTTATTTGCTTAGTTCTTACAATAAGTGTCAGTTACAATATTCGCTTATTCAGTAATTGGTTCTATTGTTTACATTTTGTGGATGTTCTTAGCTTAATGTAAAAGAATATTGATTACTTAAATAAGCAAAGATGGGTTATATAATAAATAAAATAGCGTTATATAATATTTTTTGATATTCTAAATTTCTATTTATTTTAAAAGTTTTATAAGATTTTTTTTTAATTTTACAATCCTATAAATTATGTACATTATTAACAAAATTACAAGTATGTACCATAAAAATGAATGATGTTTAAAAACTTTCATTCATTCAGCTAAAATATTTATGTTTTCAAGTTTCATTTCTTTATATTTGTCTTTGTTTGTTTACATTTACCTGTTTTTTTTTTGACAAAATATCTGATTGGCAAGTATTTGTATTATTAATTTTACAATAGGTGTTTATCATTTCTTTTTTACAATTTTTTATATTAATATATTCTTTTTTGCATTTTGCAATTTCTTCGCCAATTACTAATTTGCCGTCTTCTTGTGTGATTGCTCTTACTTCATAGTATTTGCAATCATTTATAATTTTTGGATACTTAATAAATATAACAATTAAATCTTTTTTTTGTAATATCTTAAAGTTAGAAATGTCAATTGAATCAATTATAGTCAATCGTCCGTGTTCCTTTTGAATTAGATAATATATATATTCAAGATTTTATATTATCTTTATGTACTATTCTATTTCTGTAGTTAATTGTAACCTTGTAACTTAATTGAACCAGCAATCTGTCGAGTTGTTATTCGACGATTTGAATCGACCTATCGACTTTATTTTATCCACATCGGCTTTATGATGCCTTCCAGGACATGGTGCGTCCTCTAGATCAAAATTGCCGGAACGAAATTTTGCAAACCAATTTTGACATTTCGTACACATCACATAATTTTCGCCTTGCTTGAACTGAATTTTTACCTTCAGTAATAAAACAGTAAAATATGCCGAAAATGCTGTTTTCAATGTTCCATCTACTATTCCAAAAAAATTTAAGAAAATTTTTTACAAGTCTTACTATATAAGCTGTTCAAATATTTAACGGTAAAGCGCTGTGGGAACAAATAGAAAAACTATTCATCTATAATTAACTTGTGAACGTATCTCACCTTAAAGGAAGTTCTTTATCCTCAATCAGAGCGATTAATGGAACCCACTTGTAGTGCATCACTGCACTAACATGTCTAGAGAAGACATGCAAATTAACTACCTTCGATTAAGAAGTATGAGAAAAATATATAAATTCCGCGGACGCGCGGAAGAAATCAAATATGATAGTTTGAGTGATCCTGATGGATAACTGGTCTCTTTATTTCAATTTACTCTTATTTATACAATTTTCTTATTTGCTTAATTCTTACAATAAGTGTCAGTTACAATATTCGCTTATTCAGTAATTGGTTTTATTGTTTACATTTTGTGGGTGGTCTTAGCTTAATGAAAAAGAATATTGGCTTCTTAAATAAGCAAATATACTTATTAAGAAGCTGTGGACTTAGCTTAGTGAAAAATAATATTCATTACTTAAATAAGCAAGGATGATAAGATAAATTTAAATTTTAAAAATAAGAGTTTTACAATCCTATAAATTATGTACATTATCAACAAAATTACAAGTATGTACCATAAAAATGAATGATGTTTAAAAACTTTCACTCGTTCAGCTAAAATATTTATGTTTTCAACCTTCATTTCTTTATTTTTCGTTTCAATATATTCTACCAGGTGCGTTCCAAAGCAAACAGGACTTTAAAAAAAAAGACAGAACAAATGGTTTAATCGTGTATAATTTCAAAATTATTAATATGATTGTTCTTTAAATATTTCCAAATTTTACAATCGACATTTTCATATATAACATTGTTAATATTTGTATAATTCTCAAAAGTAACAAGGTAAACTCCATTTATGACATAGCCATCAACTGTGTTATTTCCAGAGACTAATATTGCTCCTTCTTTAATTACATCTATTTCTTTATTTTTGTCTTGATTTTTATACATTTGTCTTTTTTTCTGGACAAAATCTCTGATAGGCAACTATTTGTATTATTAATTTTACAATAGGTGTTTATCATTTCTTTTTTTCAATTTTTTATATTAATATATTATTTTTTGCATTTTGCAATTTCTTTGCCAATTACTAACCGTTTTCTTGTGTGATTGCTCTTACTTCATAGTATTTGCAATCATTTATAATGTTTGAATATTTAATATATATATATCAATTACACAATCGTCCGTGCTCATTTTGAATGACATATATTCAAGATTTAATATTATCTTTATGTACTCTTCTAATTCTGTAGTTAATTGTAACCTTATTTCCTAAATCTTCTTTTATTACTTTTTGCAGAAATAATTATCAATCTGAAGTCTCTGCATCAGGGATTTAAATTGTACCGTAGTAAATCCTGGCTCATTATCAATTGTTATTCTCTTTACATTAGAGAACCCTTGTAATATCTCTAACACTTTATCTTCTAAATTAATCTTATCTTCAATTTGTTTAATAACCAAAAACTTAGAATAACTATCGATACATGTAATGAATATGATTGTGCATAAAATATATCTATGTGTATTTGTATACCCTCCTCTTTAGGTATAGGTACCCCTCCAATAGATTTTTTGATGATGTCTATCATATTTATTATTTCTATTACAAATTTCACAATTTCTAATGTATTCTTTGTGTATGGATTTTGGGCCAATAGTAAAAAGGTGAGATTTGTTTAATATTTTCGTCAAAGCCCCTGTGCGCTCTGTTATGCGTTTGCTCTATTATTGTTCCCAGGTCTTCCTTGTTTGGTGTATCCATGGGAAAAACTTTTGTAAATAAAAACTTGTTAGTAAATATTTCGTTTAATTTAACTTTTGTTTTATATAAGTCTTCAGGTGTACAATATATTGCAGTTACAAGATTTGGTTGTAAGAATTCTTTTAGAATAGTCATTAAATTTTCAAGTGTATCATATTAATATAATGCCTAATGTTTTATTAAAATTGTTAATAGATTCGGCCATTACCTAGAAGTATTTGTTGCTTGAAATGATTCAATGGTTTTTTAGGTTCTTGAATATGTGTATTATCAGAGCTCTCTTGTTGTGTGTCCATTTCTTATGAATCATCAGTTATCCTCAGTGACTATATTAATTTTTCTGGTTATAAATTATTTTCGGAGCATATTCCTCAATAGTGGTATGACATCTTTTCATTTTTACATTAGGATCTCTCGAAGAGACTGCAAAAGTCAAAGGTTAGTGATCTGTATGTATTTCTAAATTTGATACTTCATAATGGTAGTTTCTTAAAGTTTTTAATGTCCAAACTATGGCATAAAGTTCTTTCTCATTCGTTGCAATTCTTTTCTGTGAAATTTAATGCTTTAGAGATAAATGTAATAGGTTTTCCATCTTAGCTTAATACACCACCTAATGCATCATTTGATGCATCTGTTGCTAATATAATTTTTTTATTAAAGTCTGGTTGAGTTAATTCTACTTAATTGGTTCGTAATTGTTTTAATTTTTCAAATGCTAAAATTGCGTCCTGTTCTAATCGAACTTCAATTTTCTTTGATATATGCTGAGATACACCTCCATTTTCTCCTGAAATATGTTTGTTTAATGGTTTAGCTATTGCTGCGAAATCCTTGATAAATTTTCTATAATATCCAATCATTTCAATGAAACTTCGAAGTTGTCGTACAGTTTTTGGTAATGAAAAACTACAAATCGCTTCAACTTTATGCGGATCCGTTTTGATTACATCTTTTGCAACTATATATCCCAAAAATTCAACTTCATTTTCAAAAAATTTTGACTTTGATATGATATTTTCATATTTGATTTTTAAGTATGTTGATTACTTGATTCAAATGTTTTATGTGATCCACTAAGTTGCGTAAAAAACAATTATATCATCAATATATACGTGGTATTCTTTAAACCAAATGTCATTCTTAAAAATTCGTATTTTCCATTATTTACTGAAAATGCAGTTTCTCGATGTCCTCAGGCTTCATTTAAATTTGGTGAAATCCTGATTCTCCTCCTAGTTTTAAAGTTTAACATTTGTATCTGGTATCGGATATGTATCCGAAATAGTAATTTCATTTAGTTTTTTGAAATGCACTACCATTCTAAATTTTGCTTTTTGATACCACCTAGATTGGAGCATTATAAGGCCTTTTACTTGGTCGTAGAACTTCGTGTTTTAAAAGATTATCGATTTCTTTATTCACAAAGCATTTGATGCTAAAGGATACGATTTACTCCAAATTGGAGTATTTACCGAAGTTCTTATTTCCGCACGAATATCCGTTCGAAACGGTAAATTCATGTTTATTGAAGAATGTATTTCATTTATTTTTTTCCTTAAATATTAAATT